ACATTTGGTTCAACATTAATTTACTCAGCAAATCCAGCCCCAACAAACCTTTTGTCACATGCTTTTTCACTTCGAAGGAAATTTCACTGTCAGTAACAACTTGCAGTAAATTTTTTGGTTAGCCCCTTCATCTGCCCACAAGATGTTATCTATTAAACTCAAAATCATCATTAGACTCCTCTTTTCATACTAATATTGCATTGACATTTTCACATGTTTTGTTCACGCAATTGAGAATCTGATGAATATTGTAGATTTTATTTGTCATGAATATTGTAACAATAACAGATAATAATAGTAATATATCGGGTACAACTTAATCACTCCTAGTCTGATTAGGTATTTCAGTCTTCACGACTTTCAAAAATCTCACGTCACTCTTTTTATCACCACGAGAGATTGTTAAGCGAGGTGAAAGAGACTGTAAACAATCAACAACTTCGTCTTATGCCATACAGGATTCTTTTTGTCGTCTTTTCCATTCGTTGACTACGGACTGTCAAAATCATTACATCATGCTATAAGTGTATATTTTTATTTATTTTTATTCATATCTATGTCAAAACCAAGAAGCACATTAGACAATAAATTCAACCGTTCATACTGGTCTCTATCTTTCCGCATGAAAGAAAGGGAGTAGAAATTGCAGAACCAAAAGTAGTCGGAGATCGTCTTTGAAATGTCATAGTTGAATTTCTTCTCTCAAACTCATGTTATCTTGATTCTGGAACCAACATGTTTTACAAAAGGCATTCAGAGGAAGTCACGTATATTCCGCATCATGTTACTTTCAAAGATGAGCTCCTTCCTTGCACTCAGGCTCTAGAGTAGAAGAATAAACACTTCCCGAATCTCTGGATTTTTAGAAGCAAACTTGAATTTCAGACTACCAATATTTCCGAGGTGCCTTAGGTGAGAAGTGTGCTTAGCGAGGTCAATGTCACAAAGCTATGATATCGCAAACGGCTGATAATGGTGTATTTGGTCTAGTTCCGCCATTAGGGGATTAGAAAAAAGACTCTGGAGGTAGACTTTTCTGCAGAATCCAATGCAAGAGCATTTCTGTTTTCATTGCTAGTGGCATAATTGAGCACTGAACCAAACGCATCATGTTCCATCCGCCGCTGTGTGAGAAGGCTTCACTCAATTCGTTTACCGTGCATTGTCTGGGACCTATTTACGCCATGCACCATAAGAGCTGTCTCTATCTTTCTCAAAGCAAGATAAAGCATCAACAAATCCAATTGATGGTTACTAAGTTTGCCTTGAATCGCACACTGAGAGAATCTTACTCGATTAGATATTTTATATTGCAAGTCTTCACGTCGTACTGCATATTTTCAATAGATTTTGACTGAAAACTTCGACAGTTTATAACAAGTGGGAGTGGTAAAGTTCAGTCAAGATGCGCTTTTCATCATTCACGACATCGTAACCAATTGATAAGGAAGATTTCAAAGATTCCATATCTTTGATTTGTAGGTGTATAGCATTCTAGCTGCTTCAATTTAAAGTTTGTGAGACGAAGCGCAGTTCAATTGTGAATCGGATCATGGGACTGAATTGTTGTGAGTATATCAAGAGAAACTGAACCAATCCAACATCGAAAGACGTTAGAGTGCAGAGAAGTTCAAGGTCCTTTGTCAAGACGAATGCTAAGCGTCAAAGTACATAATTTTGTCCTCACAAGAACATCAGACATGCAAGTGCTTGTGCGAGTGTGATCTTGACCGAGAGATGGAACCTGTATCCTAATTTCACTTCAATTAATTCGTGGGATTGAGATTCAAGATACATTCGTCACGTTCTATAGGAGCATCGCTGTTCTAATTACCGAGAACAATATATGATTTCCTTAAAAGTAATCTCATAAAGTATGACTAGAGTTGATTTCAACAGATTTGAATAACTTCCTCTAAGTTGGATTATTTCATTCACAATTGAATACATTCATGGATATGTATAAAGTATCCTTTAAGATTTTATGGGCAAAGAAGGTGACGTTATGGAAAGTATTCCATCCCTCACGATTCTTTAATGAGGTATTGTGAAGCCCCTTCCTACTCATAAATTCTTATAATATTTTTTAATTTCTCAATGAAATTATTAACTTGATCCGTCAATAACCGACTCCAGTTTAATTATAATTTATTTTTCTATTGTTTATCTGGTCGATGATACTAAATTTACTGCATCTTATTAATTCTTAATGAAATTTTCGACATAATCCGTCCTAAACTCCAGTTTAATTACAATTGATTTCTCTATTATTTATCTGATCGATGATCCTAAATTCACTGCATCGTAAAATATTTAGTTTCTTTCACGTCCACTGCCGTATATTATGTAACATCGTGTGCAATGTATCTTGCATAGGATATGTCGTCCGACATTGTGGTTTTCCAGACAAGATCGAGCTAAGGCTGTGGATATTCTGGTGAAAGACTTGAAAGTTTTCTCCTCTTTCAACGAAGAACTGTACGAGGAGATTACCCAGCTTCTCACTCTGGAGAGCTCTCAGTAAGTTTCGAAGTTCATTTTGTAGCTTCTCTTTTGGTGTCCAATGGGGTCCTTGCATTCTTTGATGGGGGACTGTAGTCTCATGAGTATGTTGCGATGCAAAAACACTATGTCTGTTGTGTGAATTGGAGTGTACGGTTATTGCAGGAAGAACGAGCAGTTGTCTAAGTACGGAGACAGAAAGTCGGCAAGAAACATCATGCTCATCGAGTTGAAGAAGCTGATTGAAGCAAATCTGTTGTTCCATCACACGCTCACATTCCCTGCCTGAAGGCGTCCCGATTGAGGACCCTTATCAATCAAATGGACTTTACTCCTACTTCCTGAAATTCTGACTCGTGTGACTGATTGGGTTCGAAGCTACCTTGCGATTAGAATTTGTAACAATATATTAGTTCAGACTATAATGTTCCTTTGTTACACATTTACTTGACACAGCCCAAGGAGAGGAACTGGACCTGTACAACCAGTAAATGTTTAGCTTCCGGTCATTTTCTACATATGTTTGCCACAAAATGGAACGATTGCCACTTGGTTGCAAGACTCGTCTGAGAGTCTCAGTCACTCGAGAAATCCGCTGTAGACCGGATTCGTGGAGGGACTGATTTGTGACAAATCCGGCCCAGAGCTGGCAGTACACTCGGAACTCTCCTCTTTCCTCCTCTAAGCACATGCAGCCCTGCCAACACCTACAGTGGCAGCCGTCAAATTTACTCGTCACTTTGGCTTTGGAGTAGCATACATCTGAGAATGTCGTAGCTTGTAAATTTCGTGATACACTGGCGCTATGTGTAACACCTCCCTGGAAGCCTTGATGATTCCATTTTGCACAGGTTATGTACAGTAACAACGACTTGTCCTCCTTTCACCGGATTATATATACAGACCGAACTGACTTTTCGTTGTGATTCTAGAGGATTGAAACACTCTGATGGTGGCTGCTTTGGCTCCCACGAAGAATGATAATCGTAAAATTACATCAATGTGATTGCGTTCACATTTAAAACATGAATAGAAATATGACGAGAAGATTCCTAGCACTCACACACAAGTTAATCTGAAGAACTGAAAATTTAGCAAAGCGCCAACTGGATGATAACAAAGAAGTTTGGATCAAGCTTTACGAAGATGATGAGGATCAAATTACACAATAAAATCCAAAACAGTTTTCCGACCTGCCGGATTCGAACCAGCGACCTAGAGATGCCTGTGTACACTACAGTCTCCCGCTCTACCAACTGAGCTAAGGTCGGGGATGACTACCAATCAAAAATTTAATTATATAATGTAAAATTATGTACTCCTGTAATAATCATGTTGTGATAACATGATTCTGGAAAATGTGTCTAGTCTGTATTTCTATAGGAGAGAGAGACACAAGTCTTTTATAGTGATAAAAGTTTGAACATGTATAGATTTTGCTTTGAAATGAAGATATTAAGGTTTCAATGGATTGCCCCAAAAAAAAATTCTGATGTTGTGGACAAGACCTCATTGGGCTGAACCTCTAGGAGATGATCAGCTGGGCACTCCCTGGGGGCCTGGGTGAATACCCATTAGTGCTTGTATGAAACCAAAGTAGCTAGTCTGGATAACATCACCATTGTATGTTCTATTCTTCAGAATATATCCGACTATCAGGTCAAGATATGTTCAAGATCAAGGTCAAGATACTAGAATTATCACAGTTCGTGATTTATTGAAGAAGAGCTCCGTAATCTAAAGAGATTACTTGAACCAATGAAGTTTTATGGTGATGAACCCACGAGACTAGGTTCTAATAGCTTCACAATGAAAGAAGGATAGTAATCGATCGAATATATTCAAGCTATCTAAGACATCTCTTCTATATGGATAAAAATAAAAATAATTCACGTAACATCCACATAACCATCATCTAAGATTCTTGTTTTGATGTGGTTTAGAGTCATACTGAAAATTAATAATGAACGTATTTGAAATATATCATACAATTGTTCAAGGAATTGATATCTTCTACGATATTAGTTTCTTATATACTATTCAATTATAGTGCAGAAGTGGAAGTCCATATTTATATAAAATTTCGAAACTAAATCAACCTAGATAATTTATTTTTTACTCTAGTTGATATATGTTGATACTATTATATTTCTTATCCATGCTATGATTATGATAAAACAAAGAAGTTTTTTTTATTGTGTAGATTATATACAAGAGAATTAAAAGACCTTAAAACTGAAGCAGATGGTGAGGTTTGAAAGATATGATACACATCACGATCCATCCACAACATAATTAATATATCAAAAGAAATTATATATTGCTTAGCTGGTGACAAGAGATTTCGATTTGTCCCCATCTAAGATTCAACGAGATGTTGAAGTTTGGAAGAAGATATACATCAATCAATCAGGATAAAGTCTTTGTTCCTCTAGTTTAACTATCCGGATACATATACGCATGATATGACATGATATATAAATAGCACTGTTCCTCGGGTAGGTGCTGAGAAGAGACTTCCAAACTGTTCCCCTGCTGAAACACAACGAGATGTTGAATTTGGAACACATGATGCATAAATCACAAAAAATTCTTCCTTCCTTTAGTTGTGATCTATGTGGATACCCCAATATTTATATGCATGACATAACTATGATTTGCTCTCCTCCTACACTCAAGGAGATGTTGAGATTTGAAAGACATGAAACATAAATCACGAGAAATTCTTCTTTCCTCTAGTTGTGATCTATGTGGATACCCCTCATATATGCATGAAATAATTATGATCTGTTCCCCTCCTCAAACTCAACGAGATGTTGAGATTTGGAAGACATGAGACATAAATTACGAGAAAATCTTCGTTCCTCGACTTGCGATCTACGTGGATAGACCTGTACTTATATGAATAACATATTTATGATCGGTTCCCCTCCTAAAACTCAACGAGATGTTGAATTTTGGAAGACATGAAACATACATTACGAGAAATTCTTCATTCCTCTAGCCGATCTATGTGGACACACTTCTACTTGTGTGCATTACATAAATTTGATCTGTTACCCTCCTAAAACTCAACGAGATGTTTCGGTTTGGAAGACACGATGACAAAAATTACGCTTCCATTTCAAGTCCTTGCTCCTTCATGAGCCAGAGATTCCATCGAGGAGCTACGAGGGACGTGGCACGGATTACACGTGGCAGACAGCTGCGCGAACCGCGGGCAGCAGGTCGTGGGCGAGGTCCTCGACGTCCTCCACGCCGACCGAGATGCGAATGAGGCCGTCGGGAATGCCCAGGCGTGCGCGCTCGGCCGCGCCCAGAGACACGTGGGAGCTCGTGGCTGGATGAGACACAGTGGTTGTCACGCCTCCGAGGCTCGGAGCGATCTTGATCAAGCTCAGCTTGTCGAACACGCGACTGGCCCCTTCGGCGCCCCCCGCCACCTCGAAGCTGAACACGGCGCACTGCGGCGCCGCGTGCACTCTCACGACGGCGCGCTCTTCCGCCGCGACGCGCTCCGCCAGCCTCTCGGCCGTCACCCACGCCCGCTCCATCCGCACCTGCGCCACAGCCAGCTCAGCCCCACTCAGCCCAGCTCAGCCTAGCCCGACCATTTTCCAACAAACTCCATCGATGAGTGAGTGTGAGTACCTGCAGCGTGCGGATGCTTCGAGTGCAAAGCCAAGCGTCGAAGGGCGAGATCGTGAGGCCCCATCGATGGGCCACTCCTCGGGCCCGATCCACGAGCTTGGCAGGTCCCACGACAGCTCCCGCGATGAGATCGCTGTGCCCTCCGATGAACTTCGTCGCCGAGTGCACGACGATGTTTGCACCCTGCGCAATGGATCGATCGTGAATCCCCGTCCTTCACTTCAATCAATCAGAGCATAGATTATAGACCCAGCAGAGCCTCTCCTCGGAGTCTCGGGGTAAAATAAGAATCTCCTCTCGTGACTCCTGCCCATCCCCCACACGCCCTGCCTGCATGGCATTGCAGGCAGGGCCCTCTGCAGAACTCTCCTGACTGCACCTTTGCCTTCGAGCAAAGGTGCAGTCAGGAGTGGCAGACAAGCATTATAGAACCTGGCTTGGAGGCGGGTCCACTTTTGCTGCTGCAGGCGTTCCTTCCCGTGGTGGTTCACGATGACATGATTCCGAGCTCGTTCATGTCTGTCTGTCTGTGATAGTAGTAATAATAATAATGATGGCGTCGTTCACTTACCTGCAGAAGAGGTTTTCTCCTGAGAGGGGTGCCGAACGTGTTGTCGACGACGAGCAGAGCACCGTGCTTTCGGCACACAGCGCTCATGCCCGGCACGTCGGCCACTCGGATCAACGGGTTCGTGATCGACTCGCAGAACACCAGGGCCCGAACGTCGTCGTTGCGGCCCTCGAGCTGCTGCTGGTGCTGGTGGTGCCATCGAGCCAGAGCGGAGTCGAGTTGCAGCACGTCCATCACGTCCAGCATCTCGACGTGGATGCCGAAGCGCCTGACGTCCTGCTCGAAGAAGGAGAATGTGCCGCCGTACGTGTCGCCGTGCACGAACACCGTATCCCCACCCTTCAGCAGCCCCAACACCGTGGCCACCACGGCCCCCATTCCCGACGACGTTGCCAGCCCTGTGATATTGTGGTCAGATCACCAGAACGATCAATCGAACGCCAACATTTTATCACACAGCTCGTCAACGAAGCCACTTCCTCTTCCAATTCCACTTCCTGATTGTACTGTGCTGTGCTATGCTGTGCCCCCCATGAGACCAATTGTGAGCTTTCCAGCTTCTGCTCTCCCCGACTAAACGAGAGTCATTGCAGCTCTATTAAATCAGATGTTTGGTGAGTTTTAATCTGATGATGTGACGTTCATTTTCACAGCATGACATTCCAGAGAATTACAGTCGACCTCGCTGTTGTTTTCAACCAGATCAGAAGGCTTACGGTCATGACTGAGAGAACTCTGCACAGGATGCTACTGAGTGCTTGTGCGTGTTTGTGAGAGGGAGGGAGGGAGAGAGAGAGAGAGAGAGAGAGAGAGGACCGACGTTCAGTTCCTACGAGTGCCACGGGGAACTCAGCAAAAATTGCCGTGATGGATATTATGGAGGACTAGCCCACCAGGAACCAGGTAGGCACGAAACGAGTGACGTATTCGCACGAGCTTTTTGGGTGAAGCTGAAGTCAGCAGCGGCGATATCGAGATTTCGGGAAGTGAGAACATACTTCGACCGAGGACATTTGGACAGGACCTGAACCCAATGTGCTCTTCGTGGCGAACAGGGAAGTGGTTGTCTGAACGAACGAAGAACGCAGAATGAAGAATGATCATCTCAGCTGGGCCCTGCTTACGAGAGGAGCACATTTCATAATCATAGTTTGCTTCGACAGGAATGGTCGTAACCCATAACTTCCATACCCGTTCAGAGGCTGAACTCGTGAAACATTACCTGACTCGGCAGACTCGAGACATGCAAGCGCGTGAGCGAGGTCGTCCGAGTTGGGATTTCCCAACCTCCTGTACGAGTACGTCGAAGCACGAAGCTCTTCCAAGGTCTCGAATTCGTACACAGAAGCTGTGAAGATGGCTTTCCCGTGTTTAGTGCCACTGAACGCATTGCCCTCTTGACAAAATCCCGCCTGAGCTGCGATGGTCGCGTACCGGGGCTCCTTTCGTCCATTCTCCTGATGTCCGTTCTCCTTCCCCGCACCCTCATCCTCATGCAGCACCAATTCTCCCACTCTCACGTCCATGATTTCTCCAAACCTCCGCTTGGAATACCAAAACCGATGGATTCGTGCCGATGTACGAGAACCTGAGAATTATAATCTTGCAGAGGTGCTTGGGAACTCACTCCCAGATGAAGGTCCCTCGGTGCCCAGCCCGCCCAAAACTACGAGACCGCATAGAATTCTGACGATTGACTTCCCCATCGCCATCTGTCTGGACTAGCAACCGATCCAGACAGATGACAACTCCAGGAGCGGCTGGCTCCACCACCCGCACCCTGGCAGAGCTCGGATTGCGCCGCCGGCTCGGCCGAGATGGCAGATGAAGACGAGGTGCCTGCGTGAGGAGGAGGAGGCGGACGAGGAGGACGAGGTCTCGATGCCTACCTAACGCCCGTGGCCTACTACTCGGGGCTGAGCCATACCGTCGAATCACTCTGATATATGGAGCAGAAAGCGTCGAATCATGCAGCCTGATGCGTTTCTGAGCCGCAGGAGCTCACGTGCAGATCCAGTCATCGACTAAAAAACCAAGGCATGACGACGAGCCTAGAGCCTAGAGGAGAGCAGAGGGTCACGGGGCTGTGAGTCAGTGCGTGCCGTAAATGATTGAATGGCACAGCACCGATCCTCGAAAAGCACTGCTGTGAATATTTTGCGAAGCAGGACGTTCCCTTTCATGGGCCTCCTCCTGCAGACGTAGTCTGGATTTCTCGTACGTACCACGGCCTCCATGCCCGTCATGCCAACAAGAAGACGGCCCCTTTTTCCCCACACATGCAGATCGATTATACTAATCAGTTTAAAAGCATCGTTCGTCAGCAACGAGTGTTGGGTAGAATACTCAGCGCCCAAATTTTGTGTGTTTAATATAGTACTATACAAATCTGAATTTAGACATTGTTCCAAAGTGTTTAAAAAAGCGCAATGAAATGTTTTGAAATGCAAAGAACTGACTTGAAAATGCATTAATGAGATTGCAGATTCCGGATTTCCCTTGTACACCGAAATCTGAACTTTTTACACCATCATTCACCTCATATTATGCACAGCAAAACTTGAGTCAAGTTGAATAGTTCCAAATCAAATCTGAGATTACAATATGTTACAATGGCACTGGTCTTGGTCAACATGAGATATCTTATGGAGATGAGAAAAAGTAAACTTTCTTCAATATACTTTCATCACTCGCAATCGCATTGATGAAACACAAGAGCTAGAGGCGAAATCACTATAATAGCTCATGCAATATGAGGTTGGATTAGAGGAGATTGTCAAAGAGTTTGAGTTCATGGACTCAAATTTGAATTATGACTAGTTCGATTTGGTCAATAAAATATGCAAATGAGTATTGCTGGATAGTAGATTTTAATACAATTAAAAACAATGCTATTTTTCAAGTCTTATATTATAATCTATTATACTTTGTGTATAATACTTTGATTTAATATATACCCATCACTATGACATGTCAGAGGTGTTGAACATGTCAACACCTCTGACATTCTAAAAATGAAAAGGATGTTACTTTGTGAAAAAAAAAGGGTTAATTTAGAATGAAACGACAATTGTGGGATATGCATCAATGACTTTTACTTTCAATTCTTTCATGTCTATGGGAAGATCATTCGATGAAACACTTTCATGTGCCGTTCGTATTTGGTGTAACACAGACGTGTACGTCTGATCCCCGTCAACTTTCGCCCATGGGCTTTTTGCACCTGGGTTACACCTAAGGACTCTCGCTCACTCGCTCCCTCAGGACTCTCACCCACCGAAGCCACTGACAGCAGAGCTGTGCTGTCGTTGCCCATCGTTGCTTTCCCCCGTGAGAGGGAGGGCCTTCAGAATTCTACGACTGCACTCTACCCACCGGCCGCTGACCCCTTGCTTAGCTCCAGGTTACAGCAGAACAGGGGACAGACAGAATCCGACAGCCCACTAACTCTCGTACTCGTGCAGTCCCATACCACAGACGACTATTGTATTGCGTCATCGTACGCAGATCTCTCAGCCAGAGAATTCGACGGTGGACCGGACTGGAGTGAAACGAGTGAGGGACTCGATCTGGTGGAACTTGGAACAGGTTGATCATCTTGTTCGAAAATGCAGAATTTCATAACCTTAGTACGCTGAGGAATGTACCACAGCCAGGCAGAGACTCCTGTCACTCACCCAACCAGCCTCTGCATGAAATGGGTAGGCTGTGCTGAGCCATTCAACAGTTTCATGCAGATGCGAACAGATCTGCTTACGTCCGTGCCTTCGTCTGTCTACACTCGTCTTTCTGCCGCTCCGTGTGTCATAGAGCGAGGTCTCTGTGGAAGCATCGAGGAACAAGGCGACCGTGGACGTCCCTGGAACACAGGGCTGTGCTGAAAAAACCGCCAGGAAAAGGAACAAGTGTGTTGGATCGAGCTTCTCCTACAAGACCTACCGAGTGTGTGTTATAATCCTTCCGAATGTGAGTACCGAGTGACTCATTTCACATCCTTCAGACGTCCATCGATATTATATGAGCACACATGTGGAAAAGGACGAAGCTCTACAAATAGTTCGTCTTGCCACCCCCTTTAAGTGGCTTTGATGGATGCGAACCTCGCAGTCTGTAGGATGCGTTCACAAATGATGATGTTCTCTTGTATATCTAACGCAAGGCGAAGACTACTTCTATTTGTTTCGTAAGATCGAGTACAAATCCGGCAGTCCGGTACTCTGAAATCCTATGATGAACTGCAAGTTACCGAGGTCATTCACAGCACTGCACATGTGGTGCTGACAAACTTGAACCCACTTCGAGCTTCAAGGAACTCCCATGCATGCAGGCGAGTACATAGTTGGAAGGAAGGAAAGCAGCAGGAATTGAGTATGAAGTGCGACCAACAGATGTGTTGCTTGCAGTGAACCTTTTTGGTCCCTTGGTTACTTCTAACCATGGGACCAAAAGATATGTATTTTCATCTTCACGAACGGGTAAATTTTATGCCGACATCTTTCAGATATGACGTAACCACTTGTGCGCGTTGGTGTCAAGTTCGACTCCCTCTTGAACATCAATTTCACTCGGCTTATTCAGAGGAAGTCAATTATGTTGTCCAAGGAATAACTTGTCACCAGACCAACCGCCCCCCCCCCCCCCCCCCCCCCCCCCCCCCCCCTCATAGCACACATTAATTTGGGACAACCAGGAGATAAACTTCTCATATTCGAAAATAAAGGTGATTACAATCAACAGCAAGTTTTCTCTTGAGAACCGTACAGTTTATCCCCAGGTGTCTATGCACACACTAACCCGCTTTATACACAAAAAAGACTGCCTACACTCACGTCCACATGTTGCGGACCTGTCAATCACAAGAACACCCTTTGTGTTCAGAAGTAGGTCTTCCAGAGCGTGATTGCGCGGCGTGAAAGCTCGTTGTCCACACGTCAGCGCTGATTATGGGGGAATCTGGGGTAGCATGAGGTACATGACGAGGATGCTTTTCTCTTTTATCGCCTCGAATCTGCCTTAATGCATGAGGCAAGGCTGGCATTAGTGCATCCAGACACTCTGCTACTGCGTTTGGATTTCCCGGCATGTTTATGATCTGCAACAGGTAAACGGATTGGATCAGCGTCGCATATCCAGCAAGTTTCAAATTATGATTTTGGTAGAGTCCGGAGCCTGTGGGCGAAGTCCAATGGCTGCTCCACTGAGACAACACAAGGAACAACGTCTGAACCACTACTGTATCAAGATGCAAGATTCACTTACCAAGGTGGATCCTCTTATACCAGCTGCAGCTCGAGAAAGCATCGCTGTTGGCGTGACCTGTAAATCCATCAGTGTTCCGACATTAGAAATATGATATGACTTACGCTTATGATACAATCTTGTACTAACTAAAAATCCGAAGTTGAGATAGTGAGTCATTGAGATGAATTGAAATCGACAGACTACGGTCCTTCTCCGATGATGCAAGTCTTTGATGTTCTCACTTCTGTGAAGCGCAAGACAACCAATCTTTGCAATGTGAATGACGGTAAAATTACTAAAACCCGTCTGTCTAAGAATAATCGACCCGGTGCCTGGCTGGGGAAAATAACGAATGAGAAAAAAGTAGGAGGAATAGGAGACATAGTTGTTAAGCAAAGACTTTGCTGTAAAGACGTCATACCTGTAGGCTCTTGTTCAACATAACTTGTACGATGCCAGGAGCTTGTTTGTGCAACAATGGCAATGTCGCTTCTGGAGTGATATCTCTTGGAGTGAACCCTGTACCGCCTGGAATATCCACTTGGCCTCGTTTGTCAGTCATACACATAGACGTACAGAAGTTGTGGTGCTAACTGCTAGATCAGTAAAAGTGAGTGAGTTTTGCAAGTTTTTTGAAAATGAGCATAGTAATTTTAATCAGCTGACGAGGTATATGATAAGAGTTTCCACGAATCCAAATACAGCTGAGTCAGGGCATCTAAAGGGTAGAAGTACGGGCCAGTCACAAACCAGTAGTGAGAATCAGATGAACCTTCTCTTCGTCACTCCAGATTTTCAAAACTTCCTGAATCTCGTTAATTGTGTCTGACACCACTGCAGTCGCGACTACTTTGGCACCACCAAGCTTTTCCGACAAATTGTTAACAACGTCCACGGCCTTCGGACCACTGGCAATGAGCATAACTTTCCATCAGAAACAGCATATGCGTGGGTGTGACTGACGGTATGGAAGCGCAAGCTCTGAGGAAAGAATGTGAGTACTTATGCATGCAAGGAGTAAGACAAACATTCGAAGCCATATTGTGGTGACCGGTTGGAACAACAGATAAACACCACTTTGACTATTTCCTCTCTACAACAATCTCATGCTGAAATATACACATGTAACTAATTTCTAGTCTAAAAACCACGGAAGTCGTATGCACCTCAAAAATTACTCAGTAAACATCCAGAACAGAAGTTCAAGAATGGACTGACATGATGAATTGTGACTAGAGGATTCAGAGAACTAGAGAACTAGAGAACTCAGAAAACACATGTAAATATTTAAGGTTGGGACAGAGGTACCAACAACTCAAAAGACAACAGTCGCACGGAAATATAGAGGAAGGACAGGACAATATACGAAGGACAGGACTATATCAGGTGGCTGACATATTCAGAGCTGATTGTAGAGACTAGAAACATATACGTTCAAGTAGGCAGTGGCAATTACGATTCCCATGGATTCCCATATATGAGGATTTGGAGTCCACCAAAAACCCAAAGCACAAGCTCTAAGATGAGAAACGACGAGAGAAAACATTTTGGTATGCAATTTCAGGAATTACAAGAAGGACTAAAATCTTTGGGTTATCAAAGTAAAATTCACTCAGGGATTCAGATGTTTACCTTCGATCTGGACCACCACCGGATGCTACTGTGTCACTCACTGTCAAGATGGCCACCTTAACTCCCGGAAAATCACCTCCGGATTTGCCCGCTTTTCCACTGTCATGAGTTTCAATCTGGTGTTGTCGACTGATCTGTGTATTTGCTTGATTGACATGTCCTTGTTGGTGGTGATGTTGATGACGGTTGTGGGAATTGTCAGGACCCGCAAGTGGCATGTTACTAAGATCTCCTATGATAAGGGTTGGCACCTGCGTTCCCGCAGGTAACACCCCATCGGACAGAGGAAGTTCAAGAAGTGCGTTTGCAGATCTCATGCTAAGAAGCCGACTGCTGATCTGATGTCCAGTACTTTGCGCCACGAAACTGAGAGAAACATCATAGCAAAACTCGTTGAAAACAAAGAACCAATATAATAGAAGTAGCAGCAACTTGTAAGTCCTTAATATGGTTAATACAAGATACCATATGTTCCTCTGAAACAACCACTACTTGAAACACCGGAGTAAGTTACTGGACGTAAGGTGAAGTTTGATAACGAGTAGACTTTCTACCTCTTTTAGAGGTTTAGCCAAAGAATTTGCAAACCAAATAGGTGACGACCAAACGTACCCAGGATGACCTGAACCATCATCTAATTCCCAATGGATCGTCACCCGATGAAACTCAGGCCTCTCTCGATCTAAACGCATCGGTCGTGTGGTTCTGGACAGCACCCTGCAAGAGTAAAATCTGGTCAGCGGGTCCTGAACACAGAGCAACGCTGGAACCTTCGCGGTAAACATCTCCCTTCAACCTCCTAATTTCAGATTCTGGCGTCAAACTGGGTTGAAAAAATCACCTGCGAAGACGCGGATCGGACCACCCTGACATTTGCCTGATAGCAGGCAGTGCGAACAAGTAGAAGCACACGAGACTACTGACAGGATTCCCTGGAAGTCCAAACACAAGCATTGGGCGTTTACTGCTGGACTGTTGAGACGGAACATCAATTGTTGCAAAAGTCACCGGTTTTCCAGGCTTCATCAGCACCTGTGTAAGTAACAAATATTCTTCAGCCTTCTTGACAGCATCTCCCAGGTCAAGTACAACGATGAAAGAATGTCCAAAACCTATGAAACCATTTATTCATTTGTCCTTGTAAAGTCAAGTAATATTTACAAGTGACACACTACCCAACCGTGATTCTCTTCAAGGCATCTGGCAGTGGCATGTCAAACTGACTCAAAGTTACTAATAAAAAATGAGGCCTTCAAGTGAATATAAGTTGAATGGATTAGAAGGAATATCTGCGTACCTTCCCGAAGTAAACTCTTCCTCTGCGTTCAAGATGTGGCTTGACATAATCTTTGTCGCCCATAGAAACACCCCCGGATGTTATGAGCATGTCAGCATCCGCATTCACGGCACCATTTATCTTCTGCCCCAATTCGTTTTCCTCGTCATGGGAAATTCCAAGGTCCACAACTTCACATCCGTGTTGGACAAGAGCAGCCATGAGCATTGCACGATTTGAATCTCGTATCTGGGAACCCAGACGAGCCACTTGATCAAAATGTCTTCTCTCGTGCAAACAACTAATTAACATGCTTAGATTATAGTTCCAAGGTAGCTGCGAATAAGGGCTCTGCATCTCACCTGTCCTCGACCCAGTTTGGCACCTTGTACAGGATCTACAAGCTCATCTCCGGTTGATAAAACCGCCACTTTAGGCCTGCGATAAACCTACATCATTCACTTCAATTCCCACTCGTATGTTATTCGAGAAACTTCGAACACTGGATACCTGAATCCAATCACAGCAACAATTATCCTAATATCGCAGGCCACAATTCTCATCCTCAAAAAAACAGGAAAGCTTTGTCTTCTAGAGTGTACATTGCGTGATTTCAGTGGTGGTGAACTGAAACCTTCAATGGGAATTTGTATGAGGAAAACGCAGGTGGGCAGAGATCATAATCTCATACCAGAGCCTGCTAAAAACCACGACAATACAGTTCTCGGGCTGGCTTAAAGTACCTTCACAGTAGTGAAACCCATGGTAGCAAGCAGGCCTATCTCGGCAGGACCAATCTTATCCCCTGCCATCAAAACAACGTCACCTTCTGCTATATCGGAGCCCTGCATGGCATTTCACCAACACGTAAATATGTCGTGCCATTGCAATCAACCCATTAAACTGATACGATCAACTAATAACCCTCACGGAGTTCACGGGATAATCTCCACAGCGGTTGGCAGTCACATACCACTGGGCGTATATCCTGCCCCTTGGCGACTCCTTCAAGAATATCCACTTTTCTTACTCCAGTCTCCTCGAAGTCATCATCCACTGGAGCTGTCCTCTCGATCATTACTACAGCATCCGCACCGCTTGGCACGGGACCTGCCAGAAACAGAACAGAGGAGAACAATAAGAGAGAGAGAGAGAGAGAGAGAGAGAGAGAGAGAGAGAGAGAGAGAGAGAGAGAGAGAGAGAGAGAGAGAGAGAGAGAGAGAGAGAGAGAGAGAGAGAGAGAGAGAGAGAGAGAGAGAGAGAGACTAAATTACTAGAGTGTTAACACGGCAGAGTAAAGCAGGAGAATGGAAAAATTCAGAACAATTGCGGCTCATATGTTAGCAGCTCGCCTCCTGTAGTAATGTAAGACACGGTTCCTGGTCTGACCACCAAATTCGCGGCATCGTCTCCAGCTCGAGCCTCTCCGACCACGACGTACTCACCGGGACCATCAGATGCCACCACCGCGTATCCATCCTGAGGTTTCAACGACAGCAACCGATCGAGACACAGCTCAATGTCAACTGCCTCCGAGCGCAGAAATTCTTAAACCACAGAACGACGGAGAATTGAGGGAGAACCCCCAGCGACGATGAAGAAAACATTGGAACAGATTTAAAAAACCCGGATCATTGTGCAAATGCACCGCACTCGAGCATGCCAACGATCCAAACCCGAGGACATAATTCGTACCTTGATGGAAGCCGGATACGGAGGGAGTGGATCGGGAGCGGTGAGATCCTCGGCCAGAGTGCAGCCGAGAGCTCGATGCAGCGGCACGCTCACGGGCTCGAGCCGACGAGCGACGCTGAGCACCATGTGCAGCGCATCGTGCACGGACAGCATCACGGACGGCGACGTGGCCAGGGCGTACAGAGCAGCTTGCGCAGCCTCCATCCTCGATCTGCCACTCAGGAGCTGCTCCTCCGACCGACGACGAGCCCTCTCCAGTTCTCCTGCACTCACTTCTCCAGGCTCCGTTTCCTCCTCCCCCTCGAGGTCCAATCGCCCTCCTCCTGTCCTAAACCCCGGTCAGCCAACTCCGGTCACGCCTCCCCGGCAACGACCGACCGTTCTTGCCCGAGCTGCTGACAGAGCTCCCTCAAGGGGTGCGTACTGTACTGCAGGCGCAAGCTTTCGAGCGCTGAGGGGCTCCGAATTTTGCCGCGTCTGCTGCTTCCCCTTCGTCGTCTCAAGGCAGGGGAGAGGGGGGGTTTATGGACTGAGCTGAGCTCTTGAATCGTGGCCTCGACTGAATCTGGAATCTTGCGATGCAAGGCTTCTGCTGCTGCAACGTCGGCACTGGAAAATCTGAGAGGCTTTATTATCCATCTAGAAGCTCCTCAAGGACCTTCTGAATGGGAGCTTCAACTGTCCTCCATTCCCATCTCGCATGTTTCCCAGCCCTCTTGGCCCTCTTGTCTTCCAGGACGAGAGCGATGACGCCATGAGTATGCTGGCCCTTTATTTGCCAGAGAAGGCCGAATTATGCAGCACAAATTGGGCAGACGAGCGGACGATTTTGTTATGGGAAGAGGGAGCATGGTTTTTTCTTCTACTCTTGTGATTGAAAGTACTGCACTACCGATTTCGGTGGCTGTAAGTTTGGAATGCCGCGTCCCCATAGTCTAGAGTAGAACTAGAAACTCATGAACTTGATAGAGTTTCGGTCTTTTGATAGAGCTGGTGGTCACAGGCAGTGGATGTCCATATTTTAAAGAATTAATCACGTGTGCACGTTGTATACTCTCTTCTCTCCACTAGATAAAGTTTACATGTAGTACTTTCGTGAAAATATACAACTAGATTTTTTAAAAAAATTAGGGAATAGAGGACTTTTTATTCTATCTATATCCTATGATATTTCATTTCGTGAGTTTATAATCTTTCATCATAAATATGACATTTTTCGTTTTCTTTCATATACTGTGTATTTCTTTTGTCCTCCTATATCGAAAAGAAAATCTTTGAAAGTAATTCGTAAATTCTTATTGAAAATTTTACATGCAATAACTTTGGTTTTTATGAATAATCTATGGTTTAAATTTGAATTCTACTTATTCACCTATTTTGAAACATCATAAATACATAATTGAAGAAGAAAAATAAACTATGGTGATTTTTTATTAAAAATTCATACTTTCGATTAATAACATGATACTTTCATTCAATCAATTTTTCAAATCATACTTGTACATCATAGTACATGACTACATAATGGTATTGTAGATTCGTTACTAATGACAAGCAGTGAGGTCAGGGTTGGTAGTCCTGCGGTTTTTTTCCTAAATAAAAAGATTGTCAGATGTAACTAGATGCTATGTCTCACATAGCACTCGTAATAATGCTTGTTCACCAGTATTTATGCAACAAATTTTACGCCAGATTCGATAGTGATCAGGATCTATGCAAATTGAAATGAGAATGAATTAAATTCGAATTGAATTTTTGAACAAATTAAAATATTTTTTTGGACAACTTCTGGTTACGTGGCAAAGAAGCCATTCCAGTACGGAGAGGATGATGACAGCAGTTAATACAAGAAAACAGTTTTGTGCACATGCATGTGACGTAATGGAGTAGGACATGATCAGTGGCAACAGTTGAAACTGACCAAATGGATTTTGAACTATTTTTCAAGGAATTTGCACATTCTTTTCCTCACGAAGATCCTCGACTTTTTGCCTTTTCCGCTACAGGATAGCGTCCAGTGTGAGGATGTGCAATGGACTGAGCGGATTTCTGTAGAATCGATGCACCTTGTATCTATCCATGACACCGTCATAAATCTGTGTCGATCGTAAAGCATGCAGTTTCCGGATAATGCATCAGGTTGCACGGGCCATATTGCTACCGAATGTCTTCCCATAGCTTATCATTTCATCCAATACAGTTGACAGAAAGTAATTGAGCGCAATAGTTTATGCTCAACAATCGGCACAAGTGAATGACTTATTGTGAGCAACCTGTCATGTTCTTGTTTTTCTTTTAATATTCGAAGCCCATAAGTAAAATAACGAAGTGAATATACATCAACCGTATGTATTCGTGGCTACGATCTCTACACATAATCGTAATGATGTATTTCTTACTATGCAATCAATTTCCTAACAGTAATATATAACATTCTATTTTCATTCATGATTAAACCAGAATTTTTCTAAAATGATATATGATCATCTCATTTTATGTTAAGGTTTTAGTTTAATTTTTATTTCCATCTATATATTACTAACGTTCAACGAATATCTTCTATAAATTCATTGACACACATGGTGTTACAAAATAAACTGGCAGAGTTAAAATACTATGTTCCCTAGTGTATTATGATTTTATCCGTTCACTTGCAAAAAAGCACTCACAACTCCACATGCTAAGAACGATGTATTTTTCAGTCTCAGATTCGTATATATATGTCGTAAGGGTTACGTTTTGTGGACTTCAGATAACATGTTCTGATCAGAGAATGCAAGATTTGTGCAATCCAACATCTTCTTCCTCGCTGGGAATAGAGATGGTTGTCGTACAGGCACAGGCTTTGATTTCATGGGAATGACATGACAGCCATCGAGTACAGACATGGTGCAGGATCCTGCATACAGAATGAATGACCTGGAAACGTGCTTAGAGCCTCGTAAGCCCCAAAGCTCTTTCGCCACTCGACATCGGTCTTGCTGGAGTTACAGCGAGTTGTTCAAGTCAGCGTGACACTGGGAATGGAATCAGAGGTCTCGAGCACGTTGAGGCTATGCAGGCTGCGGTTGTCTACTGGGACCTGAATGCAGCTGGACTCTTGCAGGAGGAGCCTTCAGGATTCCGACTAGCCCGTGGTGGTTGTGGAGGTGGTGGTGGTGGCAAGTATTGAAACGACCGCACGAAATATTCGGAACAGATTTCTTTGGTGACTGCCTTCTCCAAACCCATAGCCAGATAGGAGACGGAGAGACAGAGCATCTGAGGATGAGTATTATGCAGAAATCGTTTACTTCTGCAATGTGCGAGAAACTACAACTGCGACAATGTCCAGCAGAAATAGTTCAGTATTCCATCTTAAACACCTGCAGTAAGCAATCGCCTCTCTGGAATCCCTGATCCTTAATTATCCTGGTAGATATGGCGATTTTCATGCTGCTCAAGTCAGGACGGCTGAAACGTCTACTCCCCTTGTGACCATTCAACTTGTTGGAGCAGAACCTGTCAATAAAAGCTCACCCACTCAAGTACCAGAGAGAGAATCGTCTGGCTACTGCGAAGCCTTGCCCAAAGCTGAGAATTGTGTCAAAGTCATCAAGCTGGTCTGCTTTAGTGGTGGTATTTCTCCCCTCGAAGTATCGTCCAGGCCCTGATATGAAGAAGGTATTATTTCATATAAGTGCAGAAAGCTGCTAGGAAGAAAAAACTGTACAAACTCGACCACAGAAAGGGTTACATGAGCGAAATAGAAGACCCAAACTTTGGTGGCATCTGTAGGATATGTGTTAGATTCAGCGTCATATCCATTGCTTCAAAGCTTTCAGGTACCTGTAAATTTGCTCGAGTAGAACAATCGTGGCCACTTGATGGTTCAGCACCATCGATGACAGTTTTATGGAGACATTTGCCCTTTTGCGAACTTGAGACCCATGACCGTAAGGTCCGCCTATGCAGAAGACCAAGGCTGAAGATCCCTGCATGTTTCAGACAGTGAGATTATGCGAGCAGTCGAGGTTTCAACGACGCATGACACGGGGCAAATGGGCCATCTTACCCTATCTCCTGCATCTGCGATCAAACTGGCCAGCTGCTCTGATGTCACATCTCGGCCACGCTCATCGAGAAGTATAACCTGGCAAAATTTGTCTCAGGTATTAGCGAATAGCAGACACAGCGTCGATTGTTTTACAAAGAGACATCATCCGAACGTGAATTGAGATCACGGTGACCTTGACTGTTCGCTGTATATCACATCCAAACATGAAAACTGACCTAGAAGCATCCAGGGAAGCTCCAACAAGTTTCTTGCTCACTCTGAGAAGAAGAAAAGCATGGAGTGTACCCAGTCTCTCGGGGATATGGCCTTCAGCACGCGTTCACCCTCGGCTTCCACTTGCGCAACAACATCACTGCAACACCCAACATATAAATGGGCTTCTAGCCTCTTGTGTGAATGTGCTCATAGAAGGAGTGATGGTGAGCAGTCCACCAGAAAGAAAGAGGCAGACTAGATTGGAACGAAGTCTTAATGCAATGCACCGGACAACTTCATCGATGACGATTGAAAGCCATGAAAATTCTACAGATCCTTCCTTAAACCTCGCCAACATTGTTCACGAAGACTGAGCGGTATAGCGCTTTTGAAATGAGGCAGTTCGCAGTGGTGCAGTTAATTTCTCGTGTAGGTACTGCTACTGGTTTGACGAGACCAGCACTGAAGCTCTCATATGACTTCACACTCGGAGACGAAGAGTCAAATTGTGGGTCATGGGAATTGGCGATTCCGGCAAGATTCTCACCTGGTATTCTTCGGGTTGGATTTGATCTGAACATCTTCGAAAGAGCAGTATCTCTTGACCTTGGATGCATAGTTGTTCACGACACTCTCGACTCCAGTGTCGAAATTTTTCCTGACCATCACCAGACGAATGGGAAGGGGCCTCTGCAACAATTCAGTGGCCAAATGGCGAATCAGACGATGCTCCAGCACCGTGAGCACACCGTATCATCGTACGCTACGAGAGGTTGGCGCAAAGTTCAGAGGAGGAAACACACACACACACACACACACAGGAATGCACGATGCACAATTGACAATGCACGACCAGGAGACAAAATAAGACGCACAGCTGCTCGAGCATAGCTGATTTCTGCTTCCTTCTCCGAGTCATCCTTCCTGGCGGCACACACTGACAGAGACCGATGCATAAACTCCTCGGAACGGAGAGAGGCCCAATTCGTGTAACAAACGGAGATCCGAGAACATATTTGATTCAGAATCAGACGCACCTCCAAATGAAACGAGAGTTAATGACGATCTGAGCGGACGACAATGGTACACAGCTATGAACGAACTCGGACTACATCTTCGTTTGGAAGTCAGATGTTTCAAGAGACAAATAGATGGAAGCTCCAACTAACCGGGAACTACAGAGGGCAGCAAGCGACACAGAGATCGCTTCGACTTCCGTTGGACTCCATGCCCCGATACAACCCACCCGTACAAACCCTCGCCATTGCTGGCCGATGAGATTATCAGCTGCATAGCGTACTACTCCTCTCGACAGCTTTCGCCCAATGCGGCTCAGTTCGGTGTCGGTATCTGTCAGCGCCACTCAAATCTCTCTATCTCTCTAAATCTCTCTCTACTGTCAAGTTATAGGAATCTTTCCCAAGACGAACAGAATCGGTGGGCTTCTGTCAGAACACATTAGCTCCCGGAGAGCACCCAAATGGAACCTCCCAATCTCGACACCCATCCATACATGGCCTCGCCATTGCCGGATTTCTCTCAGGCTCTGTTGTATTCTTCAGAACAGTGATTACATTTGCGATACGTGTGGAGACATGAGTCAGAGCTCCGCATCTATTCCTTCACAGTCGCTGACAGGCTCCACTGTTACTTCTGAGAATTGCAGTGCAGACATTCAGCTTGAAGAGGATTCGGGAGCTGCAGTTTTGCAATCCTCAAATTTGAGTCGGACCAGCCAATGGTAATCGAAGCGCTTCCGGACGAATAAACCCCAGTCCATGTTCGTTCCATTTCTCCTGAAAAGGATTGGAAATAAATAGCTTTTCCCCGGTTAGTGTGCGATGTGCATCAGCTTTCTGCTTAATGAGGACCTGACACATGGCCACGGGTCAAGACAAATGCTGCATGATGGTGAACATGATCTCGAGCTAAATAAACAGAGAGACTCGTTCGTCATTGTTGAATTCATTGTTAGCAGTCAGTGATGATATGCGACAGATGGAGCCTTTAACATTCGCGTTGAGTAACTTCAAGATCACGTGCAGATCTTGATGTGAACACTTTCAAAGCTACTACCATAAAATATATCAGGTACCACTGATAACGTCTCCTTGCACGTCCTGGAGCTGTATGAGCTGCTTTGCCCTTGTACAAAAGCTTGCACCACAGCACAATAAAAAATATTTCAGTTCAGCTTCATTTCAACAAGCTGGAAATGTCGTCTGAACCTCACTCGTATGATTGCATGATGCTACTACGGTACTCGTGCTCATTATTTCAAGACATGTATCGCACAAATGATAGAAACTGATGATCAACATTTGATCATCTGTGACAAGTGATCCAAAGCAAGTGGACTTTCGACTCAGGATTTGTGCAGGCTCATCGGCGAGGAAGAACCATGGTGATCTGAGCGACAGATGTCATTCCTTTCCTGAGCTCGATTATGGAGAGTCACCCGATCTAATCTAACACGAAGTGTGGATTCAGAAGTTTGGTGTGGATACGGTATTGCCTTCTGACTTGCGGTGGAGGAGCACATTGCCAATTGTCGCAGTTAAATTCAATGTACAGTAATCTCCCAAGCGGGTGTTTTTGGTTTGTCTATCAATGTGCAACATATTTTGTGAGTTCCCACACCTTTGGCATAAACAATAACAAAACTTTGATACTTTGATTTTATTTTTGTTCTCAGGTAATTGATATGTCTTCATCTCGCATAAGAAGACTATATCTTGGTAATAAGCGGAAAAAATAAGCCAGTATTGTCTGAGCTATAGCCACATAGAGTTAGTTTAAAGAACCGAATCACCAAGCTTAAATAAGCCAAAATTAATCTAAATAGTGTGCGGCAACAATGAGACACAAAGGTATACGTAAAAACAATTATGTTTTGTTTAGAAGGATAAATTTTTAGTCGTGAAAATAACTGCTTGACTTTAGTTAACCCATACAATTTATGTAGGTGGCAAAAATATCACTTGTTTAGCTAACTAACACGTTTACTTAGTACACCAAAGTATTCGATTGTCTTTTATAACACCTGTTTAGCAGTGACAAATACTTGATTATACTTAGATAAATCTTTTAACTACGCGACTTCCGGCTAAGTACGCAAAATACTCCAATTATCAATTTGCGTAAATCATGAGATTACCGTAGTGCTAGAGATTTAATAATGCAGGTGAGGGATTTTTTCACAATTGTATCGCATGAGGTTTACATGAATCTACATTAATATTCTTCCATGCAAGACGGCTCATTGTACCTTCCGGTTTTTTCCACAATCGGCTAAATTTTTTAATAAAAGCTTGAAAAAATATTATAAAAGCATCAAATAAATTTATTTTTTAGAAAAAAAAATTAAAATTTTTTTTTTATGGTAGTGGCAGCAAAATTATATATATATATATATTAATTATTTTGCCACTACCATATACTATTTTTATTTGTTTTCATTTCCTCATATTATTTTATGCTTATATTTGATTTTCATTCAAATAATTAGAATAATAGAATCAAATGAATTCCGCGATTTTGGATTATAAACTATGTAACTCTTTAAATTCAAATGTGACATAAGTCACAAATAAACATTTAAAATTTTACAAACAAAAAAATTTAAAAGTTTATTCTCTGCATTAATCAAGCTCAATAACAATAGTTACATTGCTCTTTCCAACTTGATATTTGTGCAAGCTCACTATCATTTTTACTTTCTCAAAAATTTACTTTTTTCATTATTTTTCCTTTTTCTTTTGATTTATGTTCATTTGATTGAAAATTCTTTGGAAAAACGATTTTTTTCATATCTATCTATATATTTTGAAATATTTTTGGTGTTCTTACATGTATTTTGATAAAATTGTCGTAAATTTAAACATCTTATATGTAAATTTAGATTTTGCTTGTTAAAGATATTGACAAAGCATGTTCTACTTACAATATTCTTTCCATAATTTTTTGATTTCTTTTTCATTTTCCCGTTAAGATTAAGAGGTTTGAAGCAACGCAAACTCCTCCATTGACATACAACTTGATGTAGTTAGTTCAACTTGTTTACTCTAGTAATCCGAGTTCCATTTGAGTTTCAAAATCTCAATGTACAATCTTGGAGCGTGAGAACCAAGTGGATATGTTAGGTAGCAGTGAAGCTTCTGGAATCCCTCCATTTGTTTGATAGTGGAGATTAGTTATTCAATAGATTAGATGTGCTGCGTCGAAGATAGTAGTATCATGAGGTTTTGCAAGAAACTTTCGTTTCACAGATCGTGAGGGTATTTAATGAGTTCACAGGTGAGAGTCTACACCTCGGATTTATGCTTCGTATGTACTAAGTGAGACTGCACTGAAAGCATCAAGAAGATTAGACTTTGAAGTAAGGTTGGATAGATGTGTTGGTATCCGGAGGTTTAACGCGTATTGTCCGCGCTTCATAACATATGTATCGTTGTATTCCCAAACAGATACACATTTTCATTTAACCTTCCTCTAGGGCGAGGGGTACATGAACATCGATATTGATACACCTCCTAGTGAGACACTGCATTGAAAGCGGAGTCCCACTAGAAGGTGTATCAATGTCAAATGAATCCGATTTTGATTCAAAAGAGCCTGAGTATTTGAAATCCGAAGAGATTTACACATACAATTCATTAGATGATGAGGTTGGACTCTACGCAATTGAAGTAATTGCGAAGTGAGTAGTTCCACTACAAAGTAAGGTGCCAAGAACATCAACTAGGGAGAAGCCAATTTTGACAAATGAAGAGATAACATGGAGATTGAATCAAATTTGACTATGTGCAAAATTGTACCTTGAGGAGCAGGATTGTTTTCGCCACGTGTTACGTAATTTCATTCATCTATTCGCTTTCAATTACAAAGATTTATGGGAAGTTACCTTAGAAACATACCGAATTGAGCTTGTCCAGAATGTAAAGGCGACCCAGCATAAACCTTATCGTATGAATACTAAATATGCTAAGAGAGTGAAGGTAGAATTGAAAAAACTACTGGAATATGACTTCATCCGATTGGTGTAGAACACTGAATTGATATCTTCAATCACGTTAGTTCCTAAGAGAAACAAAAAATTGCGATTCTGTGTGAACTACAAGAAATTCAATGATGTTACAAGAAAAATAGGTTACGTATTATGTTTTGAGGCAAAATTCTCGAGGAGGTGAGGGACACAAACTGTTCTCTTTTGCGGATTGCTATAGCGGATATCATCAAGTGAAAATCCTAAAAGAATATCAACAGAAGATCACATTCACAATCAACATGAGCTACTTTTTGTTATGAGGTAATGTCATTCGGACTATGCAATGCTCAAGCTAATTTTTAACGGCTAATGAGTAAAGTTCTACAACCATATTTAGGACATTTTGTATGAGTATTTATGGATGATTTTGGAATTTACGAGGATAGGTTCTTGCATTTGGAAAAGTTAGATAAGGTTTTTGAACGTTTGCATGAGTCAGGAATCACATTAAGCACATAAAAAACAAAAATCCAATTTTTGTTTGGTAGATTGGTGGATCACATTGTTACCAAGGAGGGGAATTGTATTGACCCGGAGAAAATAGAAACTATTTTAAGAGCACCATTTCCTACCATCGAGCGTGGAGTCAAAACTTTGTTAGGAATTACTAGCTATTATCGTTGCTTCATTTAGCGATATGCGATGATTGACAAACCTTTAACTAGGTTCTTAAAGGATGATAGTCCGTCTACTCAAGCCACACCAGAAATATTAGAGACTTTTGAGACGCTAAAGCAATCATTGCTCTCAACATCAATTTTCCGAACTCTGGATTGGGAGAAAAAAATTTTTGATTTATAGATGCATCCGGAGAAATAATGAGCGCAACCTTGGCACACTTGGATATAGAAGTATATGACACTCCCATATATTATGCTAGTAGGCAACTCACGTCCGCAAAAATAAACTACACTTTTGACTACTGTAAACGTTGTGAAGTATGTCAAGGGTTCCTCTATATGTATATATGTGTAGGAGCAACTTACATCCCATTCCTCCATTAGGACAATTTGGAAAATGTGATATTGATTTGATGATACATTTGCCAATTACAAGAAGTGAACACAATTTTATTCTAGTTGCCACATATCATCTTCCAAGGTTTGTGGAGGTTTGGACTTTGAAGATTTTGATCAAGAAAGAAATAGCACAATTTGTGTATGAACGCATTGATCTTGCTTCGGCATTTTGTTAGAGATGATCTCTGAGAACGATACTCAATTCATCAGTGATGTGTGAGTAGATTTGATGAAATGCTTAGCAATTAAACAAAGATTTACAACTATGTATGAATCAAGTACAAACGGACTTGTAGAACGAACAAACAAGATATTATGTTCTATGATTGCAAAACAAGTGGAAACAAGATTGAATGCTAGCGATTGGGATCTCAAGATCCATCATGCAAAGTGGATATATAACTCAAAGATCAAACTACTAACGTGTTGTCTCCATTTTGTTTAACCTATAGCATTGAGGCTATACTTTGATAGAATACGAATTGATGTCACTCCGCATCGCTTCAAAAACGCGTTTGGATTTGGATGAGTCGCAACGAAGATGGTTGATGCAACTTAACTAATTGGATGAGGTCCAATTACGGGCGAAACAGGCAATTGAGTTGGCTCAAGCAAAATTGAAGAAGATGTGGCATGCGTAGGTAAAAAAGTAGGTGTTCAAGACGGAAGACTTGGTGATGTTATACGATTCATGACACTTTTGAAGTCCACATAAAAAACTACTAACCAAATGATTTGGACCTTATGATATTCACAAAGTCTTTGCGTCAAACGCTCCCTATCTCTACTAAATTTAGATGGCAATAACTATCCACATAAAGTTAATCATGATATTATGAAAAAAGTTTATGTAAATTTGTTAAACTAGTTAGTAGTGAAATTTTTGGATTACTTTCAATTGTTTGATAGTGGAGATAAGTTATTTAATATTTTAGATGTAATAATTAAAATATAATAATATCAAGAGGTTTTGCAAAAAATTCCTTTTACTAGCTCTAATGCAAGTTAGGTTGCAGTAAATCAGAGTGTACTGAAGGCATCAGGAACGTAGTAACGACGTATTCGGAATTTTAACGTGTATTGCCCGCGCTTCACAACATGGGCATACTCCTCGGGTGTTGACCGGAGAATCAATCCTGTTGACTCTCTGAGCAACGTTCATACGCAGAATCTGAGACTCGAATGTCGGCCTCGCTTCGAGAGAGCGATTACACTATCCCGAACACGCCCGTTTCGCCCGCAAAGACCCGCAAAGCACAGCACGATGGATTAGCAGCAGCAGAACTGGTGCCAGAGTGAGACCCTCGCTCGCTTGCAGAGTGCAGTGAGGATTGCTTGCGAGCTCGATAGTAGCCAGCGAAATTCGCTTGTGTTTCGAGTACGGCAGGCGAGGGGGATTTGAGCTGCATGCGGTTGAGTCGTCGAGGAGATTGAATGAAAGCTGGAATGGGGTCGAAATTGTAATCGGCAGCCGGAGAGCGAAGAGAGAAGTGGTCTGAGAATCTCGTTGTGTCATTCACCGAAGGCAGAGCTTCTCTGCCATCGATTATCCGAGGAACATGAAGCAATGAACCTCTGCGTTTAAAAAGACGAGACGAGACTGGGAACGAGAAGCTACAAAAAGCGCCTGCGAGCTCATGACCGAGTCAACATCGTTCTTCGCTCTGGGCCGACAGTCTGTTGACAGACAGTCGGTTGCAGGCCAATGGGCTCTGTGGGGCCACAGAATCATGGTGGCCACTGAGGCCGGAGTTTCATTGTCACCGTCGTTGACGTTGATGGGGACGACAGATTTGTCATGACGGCTTCGCAGCATCCGATTTCCGAGACGTGGTGGGGGAGCTCATGTTGATGACGGCTCTGCTGGACGACGAAAGCCTCGGGTCCGATTGACAGACGATGCTCTCACATCTTCGAAGCATTGGATGTCTCAGAAGGAAGGACAGAGCACCGGGAGCGGGAGCTGGTTCTGTATTTCCAGCTGCGAGTGGCAGGAATTTGGCTCTGCTCCTTCCGGCTATCGGATTGCGCTCGAGGGCACGATAGAGAAATGTGCCGAGGAGTTTGCAAAAGATGATGCGGATTGCGGATTGCGGATGAGGAGCTGGATCGAGAGCCCAAGAGCTCGAGCAGAACGAGCGCAAAAGATGCGCGGGAAGAATCGGGAGGAGTTGCGTTTGAATCAGCGGGCCCGTGGGAATACGAGAGCCGGGCGAAAGGATGCTGCGTCCGAAGAGTGTGGAATCCGTGCACCGACGAGATGACATCGACGCGCGGGGGTGGGGTGGGATGGCGGGAGGATGATCTGGGGTCGGCGTCGCGAGGAGCAAATGGCCGTGGGAATCGGGGGACTGCCGCTCGTGGAGCTGGCAAACTGCTAGTGGGAAGAGGCCGGGGCTCGTCCAGGCCAGGATCTCGCGCTCTCAGGAAAAGGTGGAGAATGCAGGCAGTCGCAGGAAATTAAGAGTTGTGGACAGTCTCTCGTCGCCCCGTCTCGTCGTCGGAAGAAAGGGGAGATCCGGACGCGTGCATCCTCTGCTGCATCATGTCCCAAAGCCTCGTGGATTGTCCTCAGCTCCAGGCGTTCTCCCGACCCCGGGTATGGAAGGCTCGCGGTCTGCTCGCCGAAGGGAGCGTGGCGATGAGAAAGGCGGCCGAAAAAGATTATCGCTGACGGTTCCAATTTGCAAGGACTTTGTGCGAGGACGATGCTCTCGATCGCCATTGGAATGCCGATTTGCTCACCCTCCTCCCACTGTCGCCCTCGACGGGTCAGATCTTCATTCATTCCTTCCTTCCTTCTTCCACTTCTGTCTCCGTCAAGTCTGCCATGCTCTCAGAGCTCCCCTTTCCTTTGCTCCCCCCCCAATTCGAATCCCCGCTCGTCCACTGTCGTCTCGTCATTGCGTCCTTCCTCTCTGGCTAGACGATGAAGGTAACCTACCGCTGGAACGCTGGCAGCCTTTGCCAGCATTCCCCTTCCAGCGACTGCATGCGGTCACGTGAAATCGAAATCTGCCCTGCCTAGCGAGAATTTCTGATTTCTCAGCTGTAGCGATGTCCGAACCGAGATGACGAAGGGCATTCGGAAGTCTTCCTCGTCGAAATGTGAGCGCATCTCTTTGACCGCAATTACTCTGAGCATGCAGTTGTCTCTTCCATTTTTCCGTGTCGATGCAGGTCAGCAATCAGTCCGGTCTGACAATGGAAATCTCGCTGGGTCAGATCCGCAATGTGACATCCGAGTTTAGATCCTCGTATGATGTGATTGCCGAGGCCTCGATGTGGCTGAGCACAGCTGTGTGATTCAATACGTTGTCCCTGTTTATTGTCCCTTTCCATCTGAGAAATCTTCTGACTCACTGTAACAATTCCTCAGTCGGACTCAATCGCCTGTCGACCAGTAGTCGAGTCGAGGTTCGAATGTCGATGTTTGTCGGCGGCATGAATCGTCTCGCATGTAGCACGGTGACCAACCACTGTGAAGACCACAGGAAGAGCTAAAATCACCAATGCGTTTTTCTCTAATCGACTCGCAAGTCTCTCACATGTTCTCACTCACTGGCCCTCTAATCGGCATGTTGCCCTCGGGACCAGCCCTGTCGACAAATCGGATCTGCCCTCCCATAGTCGAGGGAGCTATTCAAACGAGAAATTCAACGAGATCCGTCCTCTCCGTTGAATCTTGTCAGTGCAGATTCTTATTTACCAGCTACTAAATGTAACCACCTTCAATATTGAATACTGGCTGTACAGTACAGTCGTGCTGCCGTAGCCTGTGCCAAGACCATCATGGATCTCGGTACCTACGACAGGGTGGAGAAATCTTTCTGCTTGATGTTGTCTCCTGTCTGAAGTTTTTTGCTGCCTCTGACCTTTTGATAGTTCCGCAGACCCGATCATCACCTCTCCCGTTAGTTTCCACACTGTCTATTCTAGGCAGCAAAGACGGTTTCCGTAGTCTGAAGTGAAAGACTGAAAGAACTCACTTCCGCTAATGATTGATCGGTAGAGTCACGTGGGCATGATTTCTTCTCGTTGGCGCAATTGTAAGTTCTCCTGTGTAACTAGCTACTTCAGATCCGAGAACTGATTCACAATTCTAAGCTTCTGAGTTGACCTGGATCGAAACATACAGGGAGGTGGTGACGGTGTGCTTTGATTCGCTGCGTGATCGTTGCATTCGAGGCCCAGTTTGTCGATATTTTCATCCGCCTCCTCATCTGCGAGCGTATGTTCTATTCTGACCTTTGTACTTGGTTGGTCATAGGATAGGCTGAACGAACCTAGCCAGGCAGTTTCAAAGTCCCTGCAGTCTTCGGTCGAAGCGAATGATATGCCCAAGCATCTCGCATGCGCCGAGGCTTAACGAGCACGTTGGATTCTTCAGTGAAGTATTGCAACGTCGTTTCATGCGAAGGACTTGCTTGACACGTTCTGGTCCTCTGCATAGGATGTAGCTAATGGGCTGTACTCAGCACATGGATGTACTTTGTTGCTTAGCAGGTTGCTGCAGGAGACGGCTGGCATTGAAACCGCACCTCAATTAGGTTACCAGCCTGATTCTGTAATTTCTCTCAACTTCTGTGCAATGAGTGAGCACTCTTTTAATGCATTGGCAAGTTGCTTTTAATCTGCTGGATCTATGACCACTGATTCGTTCTCGTTTCGTTACACCTTCAACTGGGTACGTTCTGACGGTCACGTTGGTGGAATTGGAGTTCTACTTGCAGCTAAGATCCCCCCAGAACCTCGTTCTGGGCCCAACAAGGTTATCTGCTCCACCGATTTCAGTTCCTGCTCCACTTTCAATCAAATCAACTACGAGACCATCTATAGAGGTATCGCTAGCATCGGGTACAAAGTTTGGTCAGGAGTCAGTCCTATCTTGAACATTACAATATCTCAGCTCCATCCAATCCGGACATATAACGGAAGCAAACCAGTCTCTTCTTCCAACACCATCATGATCATGTCACTGTCTTAGCCTTTAGCTAGTCTCTGTGTCAGAGTATACCAGTCAGTGAAGGCTTACACCAGCAGTGATTCTGAACGTGGGCCTCGAGTTTTCTGTGAACTTTCATTACTCCATTCCTCTTGGACAGGTTTGCAGGGATTACGTTAGAGGACGTTGCAGTAGAGATGCAGAGGACTGTCGATTTGCACACCACAACCCTACTGGTGGTGATGGAGAGTACGTCATTGTATGTTCCTATCGAACACTAGCGTCGTCTTTCAAACTTCATTCATATTCTTACAACGTACTATGGAATATGGATCTCTCTTTCGTATAATCCTTCATGACATGGATACTTTCTGAGCTGTATCTCTCGATGTTCAACCGTGATTTTCCTTGCAGGTTTGTCAGGATTTTCTTCGAGGAAAATGTGAACGAGATGCTTGCCGCTACTTACATCCGCCTGACCACTTGAGATCACGCATTCGAGATGTACGACTTACGACATTACATCATCTAGTAGATTGTCCTCGGTGAAAATACTTCATGATGTCTTTACCAGATTTTTCCCAACCTGGATTTGGGCTGATGTTGGTCTGTATGTCAAAAACTACAGATTTCTGTTGGTCCCACTCCTTTGGCAGTCGAGCATTACGATCCGGGGCCCTTTGACGCTCCTTTAAGTAATTATGCAGCTCGTCTGTATGAACATCAGGTAAGTTGCCTCTCAAAGTTTTACACGCTCGCTTTGCCTTCGAAGGTAGCGGAACTAGAATTTTTCAAAGTTTTTTGACTGAAGTATGCACTTAGACTGAGGATTCTAAAGACGTTTAGCGTCAACCCTCTCTTTCTGGAGCATAGCGTCCATTCGTATTTATTATGCTTAGTTCTGCTTGTCTCATCTCAAACTGCAGGCTGCAAAGCGCATGCGAATTGAGGAGCATGCCGGGGATCCCCACAGAAGATGCTCTCCAGGCCCTGTGAGTGCCTTTGATTTTCAGACTGGTCAAAGGATGCACGCTATAACTCATGAATTCTACGTGCATAGGGCTGTTGTCGAGTAGAGTAACAGATTGTATACGCACTGCGTATAGATCACAGTTGAAAGATCATCTAAGCGGTAAGCAATTACTGGAAGTGGAAGATCGTGCATTGAGTAAGATGAAAGTTGCCAATAATGCTTGTCTTTAGTCTTTACACTCATGTGACCAAACGTACAAAGTCGACCTTAAAGATCACGGCGATCTGACAGAATTGAACGGAACATATGAATCAAGGACTGGAGATCGAGCGCGATAGAGCTAATGGGTTTAGTGATGAGACTCAACTGACAATTGTGTTTCTGGATCACAGTTTTATAGTGCAGGGCCTGGAGCTGCCATATATTCAACACCAGCTCCACTTCTTGTTTTCCATTCTCAAGGCCGCACTTTTCATGGTAATATAGTCAAATGACAAATTTTACGACATTGCAGGAAACGTGTAAGGACTGGGTCCAAAACTATATGGGATCTAATATCTTTTATATCTGCTGTTTGCAATTTGATACTCATCGGAATTGTCATTCTTTGCTGAGATGATCGTAATGAAGGGTTGTTCAATGTAGTGCATGTTCGTACATGTCCTGACCTTCTTTACTGCCTGATCCAGATCAGGACAAACTACCGGTTTGTAGGGACTTTCTGCATAATAAGTGTTCCAGAGACACAACATGCAGATATGTCCACCCAGAGAGACATACGGAGGTGAGAAAATGTTGGAACTGCCAAGGCCACACGAACCTTTGATTGAAAAAGCTTTCTTTTTACCCTACAAACTGAAATGTAATATCAGCTGATGCATCTGATGTTTTCAGGTTATCGACAACCACGTAACTCTATGTAGGGATTCACTTCGAGGGAAGTGTAAAAGAGAACTTTGTCGATTTTATCATCCACCTTCACGAAAGTCATCAGTTCCTCGAGAGAGTGAACACAAGAAATCGTCAAATGAGAATTCCTCTCCTTCCTCAGACACTTTACACCGTATAATCTCTGGAACTGCGTCTCCGGAAGCTGAGGCAGGAAGCACTAAACAGTGAGTCCAATGAATTTACACTGAGCTGTGATGTTCACTGCATGGAAGGCGTGACAGAGCAACGTTGTAGAAATACAACCAGCCATTTATACCCTCTCGATGTCTGCTACTTATGTCGAGTTAGCTTGCTTCTGAAAAAGAAAAAGTAATGAGCTGTAGCCATTTTGACAGCGAACGTCTTCTCTGATTCGCACATGAAACTTGCTTCCGTGTTATCCTCTCACTGCACCTTTTGATTGCACAATTGTCGTCGTTTTTGCAAGTTGATTTCTTGATTGTTGGTATGAGCGTGATGCTGAACTAGGAAGTGCATTGTCTTTCACAATAAAACTCTTGCACCAGGTCAGTCCCTCTAGCCCGCAGCCTGATGTATGTAACGTTTTGTGCTTCAGGGATATTTGCGAGCATTGAACTCTTTGATCTCAACCTCTTGTTTCGTTGGATGAACAGATGAGGCATAATTATCCTGGCAGTACCGGGCAGTATTGACAGCGATCCAGTCTCTTGATGTAACAGCAGTAGACGATTTGGCTCCACTTGCTTGTAGATTGGCAGTAGAGTGTAAGTACAACCCACATGGAAAATTCCGAAGTTGCTCTTGCATCAGGTGCAGCAGGCTGCTGCCCCTTGAACTTTCGGCCGTCTCTTGGAGATGCATTGCATCTAGGCTGTAAAGATAGTATTGAACTTGTGCATGAATGGCTGTGCATTCTTTCCATGAGATCATAAATCTCATACAAAACTAAGGGATCTTGAAAACAATTCAGAAGATTCGATTCATACTGACAATTTGTCAAAAAATGATCTGAGAGGAGTTAAAATCAGTTGGCTCAGGGTCATTAGTTGTCAGAAAGCATCTCCTCCCAACGTACATAGCTGTAGATGTCTGCTGAGTCTTCGACCTGCAGATTTAGTAGATCGCGTAGATTTCCATATCCTCATCTAGTTTTAATTTTTCAAGAACGATTTTGATATGTACTCAAAGAGCGGGAGACTGTGTACATCTTATCTCAATTGTAGAGTTTGTTGGAAGTTTTATGTACGTTCATTGGATTCGCATCCCATTCCACTCACTGAGAAGTCTGGGCGCTACTCCTTTTCGTCACTCGTGATGTTTACATGCGTACCTCCCACTCTTCAACGCGTGGCACATCATGAGGGACAGCGAAATCGATGCCCGGCTCACCGTTCTCCCTCATTCAGTAAGACGAACCACTTCAAACCAACAGACTTCCAATTTTCACGATTTCGCTGATCAACTATCACCACAAATGTTGATGCAAATTGAAGTAGTTTGTGTCAACATGTTCGAGTGAGTTCTATACTCCACCATTACAGACAACTCTTCCTGAAGATGATGCCGCAAGAATGGATCTTAAATGTACTGTAACTGAAGTTAGATAGCTGCTGCTGCTGATCCAGCTTCTCATTCTGCAACAAATCTCGATGCTGCTACCTTAAAGCCATGAAAGTCCATGTGTGATTTTTTTTTCACAATGGTGGTAAGCAATCACCAATGTAACTTAGCCTATATATGCGAACAGATCTGGGCAGGTTCTTCTATAATGAAGAAAGTAGTGCAGAATTTCTTGTAAGTTATCGCTGCTGGATCAGTAGATGACATTGTATCACATTGTACAATAGATATGACAGTGGATCGCGGATAGACGGCCATATCCAAGGGCCTTTCGACACATTGTAGAATTATACAGTACAAGGATTCCTCCTAGTCCTAGCTTGGGATTCAACATAATTTTGAGAAAGCGGAATTTGCCAACCATTCAGTCCCGTATCATCCGTGTATGTCATCCACTGCTGCTGCGTCGAGGCTTGTTCTGTGAGGGTTGACCATCTCTCACTTGATATCATGATATTTTTCTGAGATTAATAAATGTCATAATCTGATAAATATCCTACGACTCAGAACTGGTCAGACATACTGTTGAATAATCTACCTTACTTTTTCACCATGTGGAAATACACTAAGTATGTATTCAATGCGACAATCCGAGCAATAATTAGAGTTTTGAGTTTCTATGTGTTCTGTCTATGACGAAGATTGTCCATGAAGTACACCCATGAGATGTGCATAGCTGCAATTTAATGTGTCACAAACAATCAAATGTAGAATGATGGCGCAGTTTGACACTACATGAAAATATTAGTATCCATGTTAAACACCGTAGGTATTTCATAAGAACTGAGCGATTTATTTACAGTTCTCAAACAGATTATTGGGTAACAATGAGTTATGGCAGGTAATTACTGAAGATATGCTTAATTACTAGGCAAATAGTATTTACGGTTCTCAAACGGATTATTGGGAATATATATATATAAGAACTGAGCTATTTATTTATGATCATCAAATGCATAATTGCAAAAATTTGAATTATGGCTGGTAGATATTGAAGAAATGCTTGATTACTAGACAAATAGTATCCACTTATGTAACGTCTCATCCACCACAATGTTGAAAATTGTGTAAATTATTGGTTTTTTTTTTCTCATGTAATTCGCTATTTATTATAAATAAAAATAAAAAAAGACAAAAAATTATATATTTAAATTAGAAATCAATCGTCCCAATATGATTCTACGTATATTTGAATATAAGAATAATATATGTCTATGTGATAGATTGTGAAATATTATTTTGAAAAACTGATCATACAAAACGTTTGGATTATGAACTTTCTTGTATGAACGAAGCGAACATTCCACTAAAAGTAGAATAGATTGCTGTGAATCGGATAAAGGACCGTGAGAGAAGATTACCCTAATAGCAGATTCGAATTACAGTCAGTCTCTGATAACGTCATCTGTGCACCAACGAACAGGAAATTTGCTTAAATTTGTTATCGAATTTCACCAGTAAAAAACGAATGAATTGGAAATTTGCTTAAATTTGTTATCGAATTTCACCAGTAAAAAACGAATGAACTGGAAATTATGAAGGTTCACCGATCACCAATCAGGCCGTTTGTCAGGAAAACTTGGGAACGGAAAGGAGGCCAAACTAGCTCCAAACAAAATATACAGCATCATTGTGTTCTTCCAAGATCTTCATTCATTTTCGCGGCTTTCACAAATGTGCTTTTAGAAATCTGTCATCAACTGTGTTCGGAATTCATTGAGAGAATAAATCTTTCATCAACAGTGTTCCGGAATCATCGACAGAGTATCAGTGTTCGGGGATCATTGAGAGAGTGTACTGTACAAAGAAATTCTTGTTTTGAGATCATCTCATCTATCAAAGAGACATGGCTTCATATTTATTCCGCTTCCTAGACAAATTTACAGAAAGGAGTCCAGGAATATATTCAAGTTCGAGAGGACTTCCACTTCTTCTAGAGAGATGTACACAAAGCAGTCCAGCTATGTATACAACTCACAGAGATGTGGAGGTTTTTCACCAAGCCCGCAGGGTTTGGAACACAAAAAATGTGCAGATCCCGTCTGCACATATCACTTCTACTCCTGATGGAGAGGAAGTCCAGAATTTTTATGGGAAAAAGATATTGGTGGAGGAGATTTCCGGCCTCAATATATTACTGGCTGATTGCGAACTACAACGAGGTAACTAATCACATGCCACAGATTTGTATCCTCAATCAGAGCACTTCCTCAACGGTAAGAATGATGTAGGCCCAGCTGTTGCACCTAGTGTACAACAGTTGGAGAGGGATTTATAAGGTGCAGGAAACCAATCACATGCCGCAGATTTGGATCCTCAATCAGAGCTCCTCCTAGATGATGAGAATGATGTAGGCGCAGCTGTTGCATCTAGTGTACAACAGTTGGAGAGGGATTTATCAGGTGCAGGAAACCAATCACATGCCGCAGATTTGTATCCTCAATCAGAGCTACTCCTCGATGGTAAGAATGATCTATGTGCAGCTGTTGCACCTAGTGCACAACAATAAGAGAGAGATTTATCAGATGCAGGAAACCAATCACATGCCGCAGATTTGTATCCTCAATCAGAATCAGAGCTCCTCCTCGATGGTAAGAATGAACTATGTGCAGCTGTTGCACCTAGTGCACAATAATTAGAGAGTGATTTCTCAGGTGCAGGAAACCAATCACATGCCGCAGAATCAGAGCTCCTCCTAGACGGTAAGAATGATGTAGGCGCAGCTGTTGCACCTAGTGTACAAGGGTTGGAGAGAGATTTATCAGGTGTAGGTGTAGTAGCAAAAGAAGTACGCTCCGATACCCTCAAACCCCCAAAGACGTAGAACTAGAACTAGACGAAGATGGAAGGTGTCAACAATACCTTTGTACAGGATTAGATAGTTTCTGTACAGGAAATTAAATCGAGAACTGGGAAGGTTCTGGAGAATATACAGAACCTGGTTCCGAAGACTCTCCAACAGGAGGTTGTGAAGAAGGAAACATTCAATGTACAATGTCCGGGAAAGTACGAGATTCTCTAGCAGCGGATGAAATTGAGAAAGATTTCCTCTTAGCTGATGCAGGGAATGGTACACAGGATATGAATCTGATTCATGATTCTGATTCATCGTCCGTAGAATTTGCTGTTACGTCTGGGAGAGAGTCAGTTGTCAATTTCTCATGTCGTTCAATTGATCATTCGGGGTATCTTTGTATTGTTACCCACATGCATTTTATGTATCCATGGTGACTACTCATTGTGAAATGCATGCGGAGAATCGCCTCATCTGTACAATCAATTCCATGGCGGTAGCTCGGCAGCGTGCCTCGTCGTTTGTACTCCAGTAGGACACTTTTCCCGTACTTTTAATTTTGTGTACTTGCAACCATTTGCAGCTAGCACTCATACTCACACCATGGCGTAACGGCAATTGTAAGCGTTTTTTTCAGTAGCGCTCCTTGCAGACTTCATCAGCTCTTCCACAATTTCTTCATGCTTCTTTATTGTAGCTATCCTGGAAAATAGGATCTCAGTGAGTATCTTCACGATGTGTTTCTGTCTGGCAAGCTCAGGTATGTCTGTGGCTATGAGTTTGATCAAGGATCATTGCACAATAACTGGCCTCATTCGACTGTCCACGATGTCATGAAACTTCCTAGTAGACATCGTTCTCCTCTGTCGTTTGATCCCGATCGTACCTTCATTGGAGCTTCTGCCAGAACTGCTTTTAGATATGACACATTAAATGTGCTGAGCTTGCCTTTGTGGCCTACAAAACGGCAAGCCTGGAGGCATATTTTCTTCCAGTCAAGAGGACGGACAGCCGCCTTGTGGTTCACAATCTCAGTGCCATGCGATGCTAGCCGACATCAGATCTTTAGCGACTGTCGACTGTTGTCAGTGCTCGAGTTGTTAATCCTTTCGGCAGCCATGCAGATTTTTCTCGATTCTTATGTTCATCACCTCGAACACTCAACGTTCTCCGTGCCTTAAACAAGTTGCTGGCGTTGCATTTTCTTTTTCTCACGGCCCCGTTCGAGCTGGCATCAATTATTCCTGGTCTTGTTCTGCGGTTGAGTCGCTTGTCAACCTGAGGCTTAGTAGTCAACACCGAGTCGCTCAAAGGTTCTCTCGAAGGTCATTTCCATTGCGAATTGGTCATTTCCGTTGTCGAATGAATTGGACTTCACCTGGCGAAAAGACGCCAGGTAAGTCCAATTCATTCGGTAATGGTCTTCACTATGGCATTTCTCTCATTATATGTTCAGCAGATTCAGCTTCAGATATCGAAGGTGAGCTTTGGTACCAAAAGATCAGATTGAAATTACTGAACGCTGCGTGCACCCAAACTACCTCGGCAATCGAAACTAGACTCGAGGCGTTTCCCAAACTTTATCATCAGCCCGAAGTGGTGCTCAGAAGGTGTGTGTCAGAATCTCGTCATTATCACCAGGGCCTCTGCCCACCATAGCTTCGGCCTTAATAGGAACGGAACTAGACACGGAAAAGCCCCAGACACCGGCCGAAGCCTCTGGTAGCATGCCCACAGACCTCGGGAACTACAAGACGATCGCTCGGATGGTACAGCCAGCGAAGACGAGCGCAATGGCCTGGTGATCGTCTTCAATTTGGACCAGGCTTTGCTCTATGCGCTCTCCG